CTAGAACTCACCGCCTCCTGGTGATTGGCCCAAAGTCACCCAGCCAGTTTTCATGCCTAAGGTGGGACTAGAACTCTCTTGTCTCCTGCTGATTGGCCCAAAGTCTCCCAGCCAGCTTTCGTGCCTAAGGCAAGACTAGAACTCTCTTGTCTCCTGCCAGCTTTTATGTCTAAGGCAGAACTAGAACTCACGGTCTCCTGCTTTCTAGCCTATTGCCTTCACCATCGGCCCAAACTGGCTCTCTTCCATTAAGCGCAACTTTATTATCAATTGTGCTAATGTCCTCCTTGTTGGTTTTTGCACCCGGTTAGTAGCCACGAAACAGGATCCCGGAACAGATAGACCTTGAATCTGACCGAGAGTGGCTCTCTGCCTTGTATTCATTCCCAAGAAGTAGTCTAAACAGGCAGGGGTATAATGGTTACATCTGAAGGCGGTATGCGAGACATGCCTCATTACCATCTCACCCTTAATCTGACAAGCTGTTCTTGCTGCCTGTGGATGAACCCGGACTTGAGGTTGACGGGGCCGCTTTGGATTTTTACTGTCAGCCCTTTTATCCTTCAGGGGAAAGTGTGGCGTTCAGGTGTTAATCACATGCCGACGTCTTGGCAAGAACGCGCTCCTGCCACAAAGGCTCTGACAGGTCTCAGTCTATAAAAACACCCCATGACACGTTCCCTTCCACCCGTCCATTATCTCGGGGGGGGGTGAAGAAATTCACGCCGCATAATGGGCCGCCTGCTTGCCTGCCCCGTTCCTCTTTTCCATTCTTAATTCTGAACCCGTTGTATTTTCCGTCTCACGGATGACATTTTCAAAAGGTTATCTGGGAACTTTTCATTAAGGCAGGGACCTAAACCAGCAGGCACACTGCCCGCCTTTGCGCAACGTGCCAGGTCCGGATTCGTTTGACGGAATCGCCTTTCGGTGCATCTGGTCCTGCTTGGAGGCAACCAACCACGGCTTGTTTATTGAGTTGAGCCATCGGCAAGCGAAAAGCAAATGATCTTTTTTTTCTTGAGATTGGGGCTTATTTTGTGAGAGAAATTATATTGTCCAAAAAAAGAAAGAAAGAAAAAAAACCCCAGAAGTTTGTTTATTTATTTATTTTTGCTTTGGGGTTCCATACAGCAGCTTCTTGTTGGGATAATGGAATAGAAGGCTAAAATGACTCGCAAGCGAAGTCACTCATTATGTGACTGCTGTGGTCACTAAGCGAACATCGAGGGTCTCGAGTGAACCAATTGTTCATCACTATGGCCCAGTTTTGCCGAAAATGGGAAGTATATGCCGGGTTAAGGGCAAAGACGTCACAAAACATGGCCAGGTGATCTGCAAAGCACTATAAAAGTGGCTGGTTGCCAAATGTCCAAATTGCAATTATGCGACTGACTTGGGGGAAGGGTCAGAACTTCGAAGCTGGGTCATTTATACCCCCAGGGAGTCCATCTGACCTTGCTAACATTGCCCAGAGGATCATGGGTTGCCCTCTCCCCTCTTTGGAAGAGCTTTATAGCTCCCGCTGCCTCAAGAAAGTTCAAAACATTCTCAAAGATCCATCTCATCCTGGGCACCGCTTTTTTTTGTTTTTGGAACTATGATCATCTGGCAGACGGTACAGAATAACAAAAACAAGGACAAATAGGCTGAAAAACAGCTTCTAGCCCAGGGCAGTAGCTCCGTTGAAGTCTACTGTATAGTGCAATGTTAATGTAACATCAGGGGTTCTCAATTCAATTGCATAGAAATGTGAATTGATGTGTTTTTGTGTTTATTTTCATAGTCATAATGTACACTGAACATAGTATTTAATTTTGATGTACAAAGTGAAATGACAATAAACTAAACTAAACTAAACAACCAGGCGTAAGTTTAGGACTCCTGTATTGGGGAAGTGCATTGGGGAAGAGGTGAGAAATCTATGCCTTGGTGAGCCTCAGTGATGCAGTGAATAGAGTGCAGAACTGCAGGCTATGTCTGCTGACTGCAGTTTGGCAGTTCGAATCCCACCAGGCTCAAGGTTGACTCAACCACCCATCCTTCCAAGGTGGGTAAAATGAGGACCCAGATTGTTTGGGGGCAAGAGGCTGACTCTGCAAATCACTTAGAGAGGGCTGTAAAGCACTGATGGGGTGGTATATAAGTCTAAGTGCTATCGCTAAGTGCTATTGGTGAAGACTTCAAACTAGGAGAGCTGGCAAGAGAGGGGGGGCGGGTTAGGAACATTTCTTCCTGGGGCGCCTCAATATCTAGGAGTTAGGATTTATGTGCCCTTTGCGTTTCGGTAATCATGCAGGCTCCTAAGTGCTTTCCTGGGGTGCCACACATGGCCTTGAGAGAAAAGCCTTGGTGTGGCTAAGGAACTGTAAAAGAAAGCGCAGAAGGGGAGGAATCGACCAAAAATCGGTAACGTAAGCCACCGTTGATTTACTTCTCTGCAGGAAATGCTTCTGGCGCGTCGAAGGAACCGCACCACAGCGATTCCCATTTAGCCTTAATGGCGAAGCACACAGATGCTTCCTCTGCGGTGTCCCATCTCTTGTACCACGGAGGAGGGAAGGGGGAAAAAAAAAAAGGCCCATCCTCAACTATACTTAATTTGAACAATTTCGGTAGGGAACAACTTTGCTGTCGAAACCCGGGCTTGGAAGATGCTAAACAAAGCCACCTATAAGCCGGTTGTCTTTCCAGGAGAACCCACGCTATCCCAGTTTCTGTACCGTTCTTCAAAATAAGGGACTTTCTTCGGCGCTAAAATTAGAGCGCCCTTCGCTCTCTTGTTTTTCTGTTTCTTTAGCAAGCCTGGCAGCCAATTGATGGATTATGATGTTAGATTTAGAACTCAGGGGTGGAAGAGCAAAAGAACAATTGCGCTGACATCGTTTGGCCTAGCGTGTCGGGTGTTGTCTCAAGGACTCAATTGCATTATTGGCTTTTTGTACGCCCTTCCTGTTCCGGTGGTGCTAACGTTGTACGTGGTTCTAGCTCAGCTAATTGGCAAGCAAAACCTTTGGAAACGCTTAACTAGGTTACTTTATGTCATTAAAGGACAACAACAAACGGCCGTAAGCCTCAAAAAACAACAACAACAACCCACTGTGATAATTTCTACAGGTATGATTATGGCTTGCCCAGCCGGCAACACTTAACTATCTACCTCCACTGTTGAACGGTTAGCTACGAATAGAAAGCCCTACGAGAAATGGGGACAGGCTCTTGTTCTTTTGTGGCATTGAAAAGGAGGCTATTTAAGTTACTTCTGGGAATTGAGGTGTTTCAACAGAATAAAATAGCAGTTTTTGCTCATGATTGGTAAGATCTGTTTGGAAGCTTGTCAATAAGGAAGCCAGCAAGGCTGCTTAATTCAGAGGGAAGAAACTGCAGCTTAGCTGAAGCAGGAGAGAAAAAAAAGCTCATTTAAAGTTCTTTCATTGCCCGAGCCACGTTGTCCTGGGAGCTTTTCAAGGCAAGACCTCTGCCCCCTCCCCCCCCTCCAACGGGCAGAGGTCATTTAAATGTTTCCAGCTCAACAAACTTCTAAAAGGCCATTTCAATGCGGCCCTTTAACCTCCCTGGGACCTTGGAGAGCATATTGGGAGAGCAGAAGAGGCTTGTTCTTTCTAATCTTGGCAACGGTCACCATTCCAACACATTTCCCCCCAATTAATGGAAGAAAAGGAGGAAGGAGGATAGAGAGAAGGAAGGGAGAGAGAAAAGAAGAAAGGGAGGAAACAAGCATGGGAGGGAGGGAGGAAGATAGAAGGGAGGGAAGGTAGAGAAAAGAAAGAAAGGAAGGAAAGAAAGAAAGGAGGGAGGGAGAGAGGAAGGAAGGATAGAGAGAAGGAGGAAAGGATAGAGAGAAGGAGGGAGGGAGGGAGGGAGGGAGGGAGGGAGGGAGGGAGGGAGGAAGGAAGGAAGGAAGGAAGGAAGGAAGGAAGGAAGGAAGGGAATTATGGAAGAAAATGCTGTGGCTTAAAGAAACTCCAAAACACCTGGTGTAAAAAAATGAGGATTTAAGGAGAGAAGGAGTGTCTTGACTTCCTGAGGCTTAATATCTACTTCAAAATACTTGGAATTTTCAAAAATAAATATCAAGTTAGTTTTTCCACATAGGGGTTTTTTAAGGGGTAAACCTCAACTGATGGCGCCAATGTCCTCCCTTAAATTCCCATTAAGAAGCGGAAAATATTGGCTCTGTGTACAGCAATCATTTGACTGCTAAAGGTTGATAACCATGTGGATTTATTAAGGTTTAGCCTTCTGCAATGAGTAGGATCTACAGTATTTACTGTGTTTTGACTGCCTTGGCTTACAATTTTTGCACAGAGGGGCACAACCTAAGCCTTTGGGTCATTCCCAGCCTCGGTCACTTCTAACCAATGTTACAGAAAAGTGACAGAAAGAGGGAAATGATTTAACACATGACTGGAGAATAAACCCATGAACTATTTAAATAACAGATACACGAAAAGGAAAGGGAAAGAAATGTAACTTCAATCTTGCGGCAGCGATCCAGTAAGTTTTGGAAGGCATCCATTATAAGCAGGTCAGGTAAAGGATGAGTGCATCCCATTAGCCTGGAAAACGTTGTGCAGCCCTCGCTTGGTATGTTGCATGGAGTCCGGCTGAGCAAATTGTGGCTTTGTGCAACGGGAAAGCCCCTCTATAATTTAAAGAATAGCTTTTAAATTTAAGTTTAATTTAAAATTGAAAGAGACATAGTGGCACAGTGGTTTAGAATGCAGAATTGCAGGCTGACTCTGCCCACTGCCAGCAGTTCAATCCTGACCAGTTCAAGGTTGACTCAGCCTTCCATCCTTCCCAGGCGGGTAAAACGAGGACCCGCATGTGGGGGGGGGGGGGGGGGGGGGGAGGCAATATGTTGACATTGTAAACCATCCAGAGAGTGCTGTAAAGCAGGGGTCACCAACCTTTTGGATCTCAGGGACCACTAAACATTCTTTATTTGGGATCGCAGGAAACCATCTCCAGCTCTGAGTTCTCAGGGGGAGAGAGAGAGAGAGAGAGACTTTTGGCTTCATGCAAGGAAAACAGCAGAAGCAGCAGAAGTCTTTCTTTCTCTCTCCCAAACTCCACCAGAATGGTGCAGCCTCTTGGAGCAGGATGCCTTGCAGGGTCCCAAAGACTCATTTCTGGCGGAGTTTGGGGGAAGAGAAAGACTTTTGCTGCTTTCCTTGCGTGCAGCCAAAAGCAGAAGAAAGAGGAAAGAAGCAGCCCAGTGGCCAGGCGAGGCACATGGGGCGATTGAGGCAAGTTCCCTCCCTCCCACCTCGCCTCACTACCTCGTGTTGTTCGCAATGCAAGCGACGCAAGCCTTGTGTTTCCACGGGCCCCGTGGGCGGCACAGCCTTGTGTTCCTGCGCAGCCTGGATTAATTGCTTTGGGGGTGACATTTCTCTGCGGACCACCAAAATTTTCTCGCGGACCACCAATGGTCCCCGGTCCACTGGTTGGTGACCACTGCTGTAAAGCACCATGGGGCGATATAGAAGTCTAAGTGCTACTGCTCTTCTTTCTACTTTCAACTCTCAGCATGATACAGAGCTCTTTCTAAAAGTGGTCTCGGCTCAGCGAGTCAGGTACAAGAATATTGACAAGCTTACCTTCTCTTGCCAGTGCAGTATGCCAATGATGGCTAAAATGAAGACACAAACTCCAATTAAGGCAATTGCTGTTAGCAGTACAATGTTACTCGGGGTCAGGTACAGCTTAGCGCTCCAGCTGGGAGGGGGGAAAAAAACAAGAAGAATCCAAGATAAATCAGTGATCCCAGGGACAGCCATGAAGAGAAACTCTTCCAAAGGGGATTGGGAAAGCCAAGAAAGAAACAGATGTTTGATCCCAAGCGTCCCGGATGTGGAGTTTGAGAGAGTACAAAGGCATGAGTAACAACTTCTCTTTGTTCCCTGGCATGGAGACATCTGTCGTGTCAGAGTAAGGTTTTAACCTGTATTTTGAAGCTGTTGAGTCACTGCCAGGTTGATGTGTGCAAACAAGAACAAAGAGAGAAAATGAAGAAAACTGGGTGGCAGGAAATAAGCCAATTTTCTAAGAATGACTAATAATAATAACTGGTGGGACCACACAATAGACACAGTTACAGTAAGCAAAGACAAGAATAGAACAGAATAGAATAGAATAGAAATAGAAATAGAATAGGAATAGAATAGGAATAGGAGAGAATGGAATGGAATAGAATAGGAATAGGAGAGAATGGGATGGGATGGGATGGAATAGAAAAGAATAAAATAGAATTCTTTATTGGCCGAGTATGACCGGACGCACAAAGAATTTGTCTCCAGTGCATAAGCTCTCATTGTACATAAAAGCTATAAGTGATAAATCATGATCACAGTCATCATAAAAATACATTCATCATAAATCATAAGATGCAAAACTTAGTGATAGCGATAGGATACTAAATAAGCAACATAAATCACACTAAGGAAACTAAATAAAACAATATAAATCGTACAGATACAAGCAACGTTTGTTATAAGTAGAAAAGGATATAGGTAATAGGAAAGATGAGAATAATAATAATAATACAATCTTACTAAGTAGTTTGAACAGTGTTGTAGGAATTAGTGGTTTAGCAGAGTGATGGCATTCGGGGAAAAAACTGTACTTGTGTCTAGTTGGAAAATCTCTGAGACTCTGGAATTCAAACGCTCGCCACAGAACAGGCCAGATTTAACAACTGTTGATAAGAAAGATTTAAAAAAAAAGGCAAAAGAGTCTGGCTAATGGATGTCGTAGTACTTGGAGGCAGTGTAACAGAAGAAAAAGGACTGGGGAAAAAAAAAAAAAATAAAGACCTGCAAAGAGAATGAGTGTGGTAGAGGGGAAGAAAAGAAAAAAAAAAAAAGGAAAGATAGTTCTAATCGTGACAGGCGCCTTGGGTGCAATTCCCAAACATCTGGAGCACCATTGGAGCACCATTGGCGTTGACAATCGCCATCCATCAACTCAAAAGGCAGCTTGATTTGGAACAGCTTCCATCCTGCAAGGATACCTCCCAAAATCCCGTCAAACAACAACATCTGGCTATCCCTGGTCCTTGGGAAGAACTTGAGAGGAGGATAAACATGCCGCATTCAGTCTCTAAACACCTGGCTAATCGTGCCACGAACCATAATCATCAGAATATTTATATTCTAAATGTCTAAACCATGATGGGAAGGGATGCGTATTTGGGAAATTAGCGGGTTTTATGATCCGAAGGGATTATAACGAGGAGCAGGCAATTTTAGAGCATTTCTCTCTCTCTCTTTTGGAGGCTTTTTCTTCCTAGACTTCGTAATGTTCCTTTCAGAGGTTCAGGGGGCAAGTTTCGGTTGTTAGGTACCGAAGCAAAGAAAGTCAACTCTCCCCTTCAGCCTCGCCGGAGTCAACTTTTCGATAACGCCAATACAGGTAAGTCCTTGACCTGCGACCACAATGGAGCCCCAACATTTCTGTGGCTAAGCGGGACAGTTGTTCAGTGAATTTGACGACCGCCCTTGCCACCGTTGTTAAATGAATCGCTGGAATTGTTCAGTGAGTAAGATGGTTGTTGAGTCAATCTGGCTTACCCTGTTGACTTCGCTTGCCTGAAGGTCACAAACGGGGGTCATGTGACCTTGGATACTGCGACCGTCATCAGTATGAACCAGTTGCTGGCCAAATTTTGTTCCTGTGACCGGGGAGGGGGGTGTAAGGGCCGTAAAGTGTGAAAAAGGGTCATATGTCGCTTTTTTCAGTGCTGTTGTTAGCTTCAAACGATTCCTAAATGAACTGTTGTTAAGCCAAGGACTAAGGTATGTCCTGATTCGTATCACTGAGATGCCTAAGGAGTGGAAGAACTTTCTCTCTCAATTCAGGCTGAAACAGTGAACTAACTTTAGAGTCCTACCTATAATTACATAAGGAGGAGGAAGAGGAGGAACAAGAAGAAGGGAGGAGGAGAAGGAGGAAGAGGAGGCCTTGTATGATCCTTGCTGGTCTCTGAGCCCGACTGTTTTCTTGCAGACATTTCATTACCCAACATCATCATCAGTGTTAGAAGTAAATGGGGTGAGGAAGAAGAGGGAGGTGGAGGACAGAGGAGGAGGAGGGAGGAAGAGGAAGAAGGAGGAAAGAGGAGGAAGGAGGAGGAAAGAGGAGGAAAGAGGAGGAGGGAGGAGAAGGAAAGAGGAGGAGGAAGGAGGAGGGAGAAGGAAAGAGGAGGAAGGAGGAGGAAAGAGGAGGAGGAGGAGGGAGGAGGAGAAGGAAAGAGGAGGAGGAAGAAGGAGGAGGGAGAAGGAAAGAGGAGGAAGGAGGAGGAGGAAAGAGGAAGAAGGGGGAGGAAAGAGGAGGAGGAGGAAGGAGGAGGAGGAGGAAAGAGGAGGAGGAGGACAAGGAGGAAAGAGGCAGCAGGAGGAGGATGGAGGAAGAGGAGGAGGAGAAAGTGATGGCGTCCCTGTACTTAATTGCTTGGCAAATGGCTGCACAGATTATTGGAAGTTCATAAGCAGTATGTCAATATTCAGCAGCAAAGGGGCATTTAGTCACTCGTGTATCATCGTGCGCTTTTCTCAGGACAAAAGCCGTTTGATATCGATTCCACTTAATGCGCTTCAGCAAAATGAAACCTCCCAATGCCCAATTCACGGAGAGAGAGAGAGAGAGAGAGAGAGAGAGAGCGATTCCAGCTCGCCCATAGAGAGGCAAGGACCCCGCTCTTCAGGGAGGCCCATTTGAAAGGAGGTGCTCCGATCGCTTCTCCAATTCTCTCCAGTTTTAAGCTCCTCTTCTCCTTCTTCTTTCTTCTTTCTTCTTCTTCTCCTCCTCCTCCTCCTTCTTCTTCAAAAAGTAAATAAATAAATAAGGAGATGCTGCCTGCTGAATTGGAATAAATGACGTGCTTCTAACCTTCCTGAGCTTCCCTGAACCTCCAGGGGATTCATTTGTTTTATTAAATTAACTGACAGCAAGTCCTTGACTTATGACCTAACTGAGGCTGGAGCCTGCTGGCTGAAATGAATTCTCAGAGCCAAAGTCCAGAGGCCTTAAACTTGAGTAACATTAGGTTGTGCAGCCTGCATGAGCAACTTTGGGAAAGCCGAAACTGGTCACTTTTACAAGTCACTTCCAAAACAGGACCAATGGAGGATCATACTTATCGTAGAAATGTACCAGAAGTCCTCGGCATATGACCATAATTGAACCTGACATTTCTGCTATTAAGCGAGACATGGGTTGGGTGAGTTTTGCCCCCCGTTTTATGACTTTTCTTGCCACCGTTGTTAAGTGAATCGCTGCAATTCATCAGTTAGCTAGCTACCCAGTTGTTAAGCGAATCTGGCTTCCCCATGGACTTTGCTTGTCAAAAGGTTGCAAAAGTGGGGATGCAGCAGCGGTCATGTCATTCCCCTGTCGGAGTCTGAATCCAAGGAGGAAGATGAACAGCTGACAGGGAGCGAGAGTGTGGCTCTGTTGACTGTGGAGGAAACTGTGGAAGGGCAAAGTCTGGCTGGGCAGAGCAGGGGAGAGGGAGAACAAGGGGGAGGGAGTTCAGAGGAAGGCCCAGGCCCACCCCTCTTCATCCTAGGGCATGCAGGGAGGAATGGAGAAGGGAGCAATGTGGATTGCATGGCTTACGGGGGAGGAAAGGGCCCTGATTCCCTTCATTAGCCACAGCTGGGAATGAATGTTTATAAGAAAGGCAGACTGCGTGCGGCAGACTGTTGGGAGCAAACATGGCTTTATCTTGTATTATCGTGACTTATCTATGTTCCTGGCATCTTCCCAACCACGTGAGTTTTGCCATTCTCTTCAAGTCTGAAATTCTTGCTCCTGCCCTGCCAAACTAATTACCTCAGTTTGGCTTGTTTGGACTTTGTGTTGACCATGTTTTGGACTTGATTCTGGGAGAGTTTTTCTCCAGGTAACCTGGACATTGGGGGAAAAGTTGGAGACAATAAAGCGATTCTTATTGCTTATCTGACTGTGTTGCCTTTGTGCCATGCCCCGGGTCATCACAGGTCGTAAGTATGAACCAATTACCAATTTTGATCCCATGATCATGGTTGTAACTATGAAAAATGGTCGTAAGTCACCTTTTTCAGTGCCATCGTAACTCTGAATGGTCACTAAATGAACTGTTGTAAGTCAAGGACTAGCCGCAAAAAACCCACACCCTGCCTTTCCTGAATGACTTCTCTATTTCTAGACATATTACTTATCTAGGCAGCCTTCAGTTTTTCTCAACCAATTGCTCTATGATTACATTATAAAGTTCCAAAGATGAATAAAACCATGGTCTTTTTTAAAATTTTTATTAACAAGAATGGTTTTGTTTTAAGGTTATAATCAAGATTTATCAACTGTTGAGGTCAGCCTCTATGATCAATAAATCTTAAACAGAGCACAAAATGAAATCAATGTGGTCTTTTTATAACATACATAAATCTGGAATGGCAGCTCTTCGGTAACCGCCAGGAATAAAATAACAGAGTAATGATTAAAATTCATTTGGAGGAAGAAGCCTGAATACTTATTGTTCATTTAAAAGAAGGAGGGTATCACAACTGGAGGCATTGCTTTGTTGAACTGAGATCCGATTACAAGAGTCGCATGATGCTTTATCATGTCTTGAGTCATCAGAGCTTAATTTAGATTTCCTGAGTTATCCGAATCCCTTGGGATATTTTTTTACACCTTATTTTCATTGTTCAAACCCTTGAATGCCTTTTGTTACTTTTACACGAACATATCAATTTTCCTCCCTGAGTATATAGTTCTAAAAAGGCATGTATAATATGTGTGGCAGGATATTTTGCAATATGAAAAGTTGCACTGGCTCCATTGGATCTGTCAGGCAGGAACAACCAGATGTACGCTGGTATTGAGTTCGGTCTAGCTACTTTATTGGTCTCTGCCTATAATACAGGAATCTTCCCAAGTGGCAGCTTTTGACTAGGAAAGATCAGATAAGACTCAGAGGCACTCAGGGAGGGTCAGACCTTGTTCTCTTGGTGTTTATGTAACAATTCCAGATTAATGCTATCCAGCACACAGCATATAATGCCATGTGGGATGTTGACACGATGGTTGAGTAGGGTCCAGAGGATTGTCCTCTTCGTGACTTGTTTTCCTTCTGGGAGGCGGCTTCGTGGTATCTGAAGCAGAACATCTAGATTCACTCACAGTTTTGTTCCATACAGCAGTGGCCCCCAACCTTTTTTGTCCCACGGCTTGGTACCGGCATCACAAAATGATCCACGGACCGGTACCGGCATCAGCACGCACGACCAAGGCAAGGTGAGCCGAGCGACCGGCCAGCCAGCTGTTCCCCGCTTCTCCCCACCACCTTCAACTCCTCCTTTGTACCTTTGTCGATGGGCTTTTCGGGCTCTTTCTTAATCTCCTCCTGAGTAACGTGAGACTCCGCCGCCATTGGGACGGCTCTTCGTTCGAAGCCGCCACCCCCCCTTTGATGAAACTAAGGCGCGAGGATTCCTTCAGCACCCAAACGCTGCTTTCCAACTGACGACCGACAAGCTCACCCGGAAGCACTTTCTCAAGTGCCGTCGAAACAAGATGGCGGCGCCCACTTCTTTGCGGCCCGGTAAAAAATGATCCATGGACCGGTCCTGGTCCAGGGCCCGTTGGTTGGGGACCACTGCCATACAGCATCAACCTTGTGAACGCTCAAGCTTCCTCATCTTGCTATGTATTCAAAATGGACAGTAATTGAGAGCAGCAATCCAAGTGTAGGGCTTTACAAACCCGCACGGGATCTAAAGAACTTAATGTGCTAGTTTAGAGGCCTGGGGGGTGGGTGGGAAGGCCATTTGCAAGTTTATAAAGGAGCGGAAAAAGGTTTTCATGTGCAAATGGACTGAGATGGGCTACAAAAGCTTGAAAACTTGAGGGGAAAAAAGAAAGATGTAAAGAGCTAAGAAATAGTTAAGATTTTTTAAAAAATAAGTGTTGCCAACACAGAAATAAATGGGAGCATAGAAACAGAACCCAGAGATAGAAATGTTTAGCTTAAATAAGAATAGGAACAGTTGTGAAGTCATAAGGAAGACAGCAGAATGAGAGAGATAGGAAAATAAATGCAAGCGCAGAATCAGCGTGAAGTTTAGAGAAAAGGAACAGCAGCTGAAGTTTATGCAATAGAATAGTTTTGGGGTTGAAAAAAGCCACAGGCAAGCTTTTGTGTTCGGTACCGTATTAAGAAAAAAGGTCACAAAAGGTTTTGGGAGTGTGACACTGTACAGTATCCAGGGGCTGAGAATAAAAGATGCTCATGGAAAAAAGAGAAAGGATATCTGGATTCGGAGAGAAATCCGACAGGTTGTTGTGGTCCACCGGCGGCTTGCGGAGCTGGCAGCGGAGTTGGACAGTGGGGAGGAACACGGGCCAGTCCTTGAGTCTGGGGAGGACTCAGCTGAGGGATCTGCATCTAACACAGAGATGAGGCCAGGGCCATCTGGGAGTTATGTGCTGATTCCGGAGCCTCCAGAATCTGACATCAGCGAGGCAGAGGAACAAGGGGAGCCTGTTCCCAGTGCGTTCTTGCGCAGAGCTGCCAGAAGGCAAGAACAGTTAAGACAAAAGAGGTAACTCAGGAGTAAGGCTTGGAGGTGATTGGCCCCTCCCATAAGACATAAAGGAGGGGCAAAGAGACAGGAGCCTTTGCAAGAAGCAACTTTGTTCATTCTGGTCGGTTTAAACTCTGAAGCTCTGTGTTGACTTTGTGCTCCGTTTGGCCCTGTACAGCTAATTGGCAATTTAGTCGTCAGCAGCATTCAAGGGAGATAAAGGTGGGTGCTTATCAGCCTTATCTCGAAAGACTGTGTCAGACTTCTGTTGGACTATTCATAAACTGTTTGGGACTCAGTACGGGCTGTGAATGCATATAATTCACAGCCGTTGAAATAAAAACAAGGTTTGGGGGGAACAGCGTGTGATTGTTACTGTCTCAGGAAGCCTTGGTCAGAACACAGGGAGACGAAAAGCGTGATGACCCGGGGCAAGGCATGGAGGCAAACACAGCCAGCTGATAATTCAAACTCCCCTTTATTGCTCCAAGTTTCCCCTCAATGCTCGTCCAGCAAAGTAAATATTTTGATTTTCGATTTTTTTTTTCCACTGATGCAAAGAATTCTGTACAAGGAGGAAATGATTTAGGTCTTCCTGGAAGATATTCTTTGAACAAACCGCTCATTCTAATTCGCCTGGCAAAGATTGAATTGGACTGAAATGAACAGAGCTTACCTCCGAGGAAGGTGATGAGGGAACGGGATGACAATAAGCTGGGAATTTGGGATGATGGCTGTCCATTCTTGTTTTCTGGTAGCCTGGAAGGCAGAAGAAAAGGTTCCCCGGGGAACACCTGGTTAGCGCACCTTACCAAATAAAGTCACGCTGCAGAATCCAAACGTCCTCATTTTGTTTACATTTAAATAAATGCATCTAAAAAGCCATTTCACGAACATTTTAATTCAACATACATTTAATTAATTAAATAAAATGCTACGGTTCACTGAAAACCACCTAGATTTTAAAAGCAGTTCCCACTCTGTGTGTTTTTCCTTGAATGACCTCCAAGGATTTTTACAGACTGTGGACAATGCCAACCTTGTTGGTAAACTCCAAAATATTCTGGGGGGCCGGGGGAAGGGTTTTTTTAAAAAAAAACCTGGTAGCTTTCACACAAGCAAGATGGATGGGCCCAGATACAGCGATGGTGGCTACACCGTTGGAACACCTGAAGGACCAGAATGGAGAAAATCGATCTATGAGATTGCTAAGACTGGATACCTGCTTGGAGGCATCTAATCAACGACCACACAAACCCAAAGTTTGCAGCACTGGAGACTGAAATTCACACCAAAATTTGCTTATTATTCTACGGTTGGATTCCGAGGCATGACCCGGAAACACAACCCGCAGATTTACCTTAAATATGAAGATCATTCCATGCAGAGCGGCGGGTTTTAACATACCTTTTCCCCCGCGGGACGAGGGATGCCGACGTATAAATGATCGAGAAAATTAGCGCTCCGACCCAAACCTAAAACGGTGTATGGAAGCTGCAAGGCGAAATGTGCAGACTGACTCAGCTGTCCAGCTAGAATGCAATTAAAAAAAAATATGGCACGATAAATATGTTGCTTAAGGCCTACCAAAGGAATGCAATTTTGCTACCAGAGTTGATTGCCTGCCACTAAAAATTGAAGTCTACATCTAAAAGAATCACACAGTGACATTCAGCATTTACGCAAGCGGGGTAAAAGCTCAATGCTCTGCGTGTTATTTTGTCATATATATATATATATTTAACAACGAGCCTGCTTAAAGCCAGAATGGGAGAGTAGCGTTGCTTTCCGCTTGCGCAACGTGGACGGAGGCTCTGTGTCCTTTTCTGTTTAATGCCATTCAGAGCGCCTGTCAATACGGGGAAATTGGAAACGAAGCCATTTATTTTTGAGCAGAAACATTTCTGAAACATTTTTTGCTGTTCAACAATAGACTTGATTATATGAATCACGGAACTGGATTTGCTGATGGGCTTCTTTCAAGCAGGCAGGGCGAAGGAGAAACAGTAAAAAAGACCGATGAGGCTAAAACAAAAAACTAAACAAAAAACCCCAACAACAACAAACACCGAAGTCACGATGGAGATGAGTAAGTCACCTTGAACCATTCATTTCATCTTGTTACAGTTATGAGCATGACATTCTTCTGGGTCTTCTGTGCTCCAATGCATGCACATAAATTAAATTAAGCAATCCAAGATGACTTGAAAATTACAGCCCGATAAATCACAGCTTGGGCAATAGGTTGGAACTTACAGATAGAATTTTGTCTCTGCTACTAGGCAGCCTGATCAACCTTAATTTGTTCTCTGGCACATTATTTTTCTTTTTCTTTTTTTGTAAAACTATCTTTGATATTTGACATGGAGTCAACTCTATCCCAAATGGGAAAGGGCAGCAATCAAGACTTTTCATGCATTGGACACCTGGTTGACATTTTGACTTGGTGCTCATTTCAAGCTGTTGAGAATTTTATTTTTCTGGATAAACAGGACGAGTTTTCCATTGGATCTTCAACTTATTAAAGTAGACCCCTCCTGCTTAAAGCTCAACAGCTGATCTTAAATATAAGCAGGTTGTTTTGCTGCAGTTCATTGCACATTGATTTACAGATAGTTCTCAACTTACAACCTTAATGGAGCTGGGCAATTACGGATGTGTGTCACGATGGTCCTAAACCAGGTAACCTCATGATTGGACCTGATTTTACAACCTGATTTTTTGCTGTGGTGGTTATGTGAATGGAGCACGTGGTAAAGAGAACACTGTAGTTGTTAAGGGAACCCATTGTTTGCTATGGGCGTTTTTTTTTGCTGGAAACCAGAAATAAACACCAGTTCCCAGCAAAAAATTGGTAAATTGTGATCACTTGACCTCAAGACACTGTGAACCGCCATAAATGCAGGCCGGTTGTGGAGGGTCTGATATGTGGTCACATGACTCTGTGTGTGTGTGTGTGTGTGTGTGTGTGTAAGAGAGAGAGAGAGAGAAAGAGAATGAGAAAGGAAGAGAGGGAGGGAGGGAGAGAGAGAGAACTTCAGAACCAGGCGGTAAGTAGCTTTTTGGGGGGGGGTGTCTGTTAGCATGTACAAGAAATTAGGAAGCAAGACAAGAGTTCATAAGTACTACAGGTTTATTCTATCATACACAAGAATCAGATCTAATGGTCAAGGTGAATATAAGAGTCAATGGAGTTCAAGGGGGACTGGACTTAGGTCTCTTACGTTGGCATAGAGACTTCAAACTAATGATGCATTTGACCCTGCCAACACTCAGCCTTGTAATCTTGTGAGATTTTGCAGCAAATTCAAGTCCAGAAAACACACAGATGACTGATTCAGCAGGATTCATTAACTTCTTTGTTTACATAATAACATGTTAAAGTTTACAACACCAATAGTTTCTTCCAACATAACATAAACAAAACACAAACAGCAGCTTCCAGAGCTCAGAACAGATTACCAGTTTTATTTTCAGAATCGAGAGCACAGAGCTAAGACACGCCCAGACTCTCAGGCCCCAATTCAGCTCCCATTGGCTGACTTTGTTAACCATGTCTCTGCCAGTTCATGAATATTCTGACAAATCTCCTACATCCATTTGAACTTTGAACCGTAACTAAGCAACTGGTCGTAAGTCGAGAACTACCTGTATTTATTTCCATCGATGCGCAGCTGGATAACTATGGCAACCTGTTTATGTCAAGGCTATCAAAATTACAAATGTCATACACTGCATCCTCCCACCAACTTCACCACCTTTTCAAGTGATTGTATGGGATTAAGCTGCTATTGCGTATAGATGGTCTACAAGGAAAAAAACCAAAACCAACCAACCAACCGCTTCTCCCCCAGCAACTTTCTTTTCTCTGGTCTTGACTGTTTAAAGTTAAGACTGTGTTTTATAAATAATCAACTTCCATATGCAGGAAGATGTAAACATATGTTAGAAAGCAGAATGACTACAAGGAGTTCCCAGTTTGGAACCATCTCTTTCTTCACTTCCAGAAGATTAGGACTAAGTGGCAGGCCTGACAATTTCTGCCAGCTGGCAAGAGGAAGAAGGTGCAGTGAAGTCTGGCATGTTTAATTCATATTCTCAGCCTTCATTCCGTATTCCAGCATGGTCCAGTGCCCAATTTGATTGAGTCCAGGTATTCGTGCCAGGTGAAAATTGCAATTATAGCTGCCACAGCAAAGATGAAAAGTTAATATGGAGAAGAGCAACGCGGCGCACCGCTGAAGCAATCCTATCAAGCATCAGAACGGTGAGCTTTCATGTCGGTTTTCAGAAGAAGAAAATAGTTCTGCTGTGAAAGCCTCAAAACTCGGAAGGTCTTTCGAAAGAGCAGGGAGATAGGAAGTGCTACTGAATTAGTCTCAATGGTGTTTAGGAGAACATGTAATTTTGGGCACGAGAAGAGAACAGGTCAGGCCGTACCCTGATTTTCTGTAAGATGTTGCTTGTACTAGTTAGATTATCTGTCCATCTAACTTGATCAGTAGCCTGCTGATAAATCTCAAGAAGAAGCCATCGTTTCCCTTTCAATTCTTTCAATTCACAGATGATGTGGACTGAACCTGGGATCTTCTATACAACGGATCTCCAACCTTGGCAACTTTAAGACTTGGGGACTTCCAACTCCAGAATTCCTCAGCCAGCCAGGGTGGGAGTTGAAAGTCTGCAAGTCTTAAAGTTGCCAAGGTTGGAGAGTATATGTTTTTTTTTTTTCGACCCACAGATCCTCTAGTCAGCATCTTCCACAAGCATTCCTAAGGAGTTCATCTAATTCCAAGTGGACATTTTATATTAATTCAGAACATCCTCTCATACAATAAAACAACTAATACAAAATGTTCACCAACATTTGAAGTATGGGACTATCAAAATGAGGGCAACTCAACTGAGGGGTTTCCACACACAATACAAGTGCCAAATAATGTTGAAGAGCCTATTAAAAAACCCTTTTTGTGGGTTGAATACAGGGTGTACAATGAAAGAATTCCACAAAGAGTTATCCAATTATATGGCTCTTTGATAAAAGATAAAAGGTTTCCTCTAACCAGTGATGTCCGATTTTAGGAATGGTGTGCATCTCTCTTTCTTAGAGGAGGGAGTCAGTGTTGTTTGGAAACATTTCTGCAGTCATGTGGCTTGTATGGCATCATGCCGCAGTGCAAAGTGTGCAGTGAAACCCTGAATTCTGCTATCTTCCCACCAAAGGGGTACCTATTTATCTACTCTGAGCCGTGGTGGCGCAGTAGTTAGAATTCAGTATTGCAGGCTAATTCTGCCGATTGTCAGCAGTTTGATTCTCAACGGCTCAAGGTTGACTCAGCCTTCCATCCTTCCAAGGTCGGTCAAATGAGGAATCAGATTGTTGGGGGCAAGAGGCTGACTTTGTAAATTCGAGAGGACTGTAAAAACACTGTGAAGAGGTATATAAATCTAAGGGCTACTCGCAGTGTCATGCTTTCGAAAGGCTAGGTGGGCAGAAGCAAGAATGGGAGCTTGCTCCATCGCGAGGAGCTCAGGTCTCGAACCCGGACTATCAGCTTTCCAGCTGATAAGCTCGGCTTCTTAACTGCTGAGCCATCATCACGCCCCCATGACTCACTGATATCTACATTAAACAAATCGAATGAGAGAGTAGTTATTCCTAGACCGTAGCTTTTCAAGACATTACAAAATGTCAGGGCTCTGATGACTCTCCACCAAGCCCCTCCTTTGGGCCTAAAACACAATGACCATTCTGAGACCAGATGTATTTCTGAAATGAAGGAACGCCTGCACGCATGTACAGACACAAGAACACAATCAATTTTTGGTGCGATAAAAGCCTCCAATGATTTTCTATATGGCTAGCTCTGCTACAGAGAAAAGGCAGAATCCTCTGAGGTAGTCAGGAAATTATTTTCTTCTATGTGGCACCGGAGACCAGGGTCATGCAGCCCAAAATGTACATAAATCTAAGAAATGCTATGTTCCCAGTAACCTACTTCACATCTTGCTATTAACTTACGGCGGACATTACAGCCTTGTAGGACTTCCCTAAGACAGGTCTGGGACTGATCAAATAGTAAGCAGCCTCATTTCCATCACAAACTTAGGTAGCGAATTATTGCCACCGACGCACTGGGAGCCATTGCAATCGAAGGAGCTAAGAGGGAAGAAAATACGGTGCAGAAGTAGGACAGGCAGCCAGCATGCGCCACTCTGGGAAACTCGTCTCATGCAGCCAAGTTCATCCTTGGATAGATAGCAATAGCCCTTAGACTTATACGCCGCTTCACAATGCTTTACAGCCCTCTCTAAATGGTTTACAGAGTCAGCCTACTGCTACCAATAATTTGGGTTTTCATTTTACCCACTGTGGAAGGATGGAAGACTGAGTCAACCTTGAGCCAGTCAGTACTGAACTCCTGGCTGTGGGGCAGAATTAGCCTGCAATATTGCATTCTAACCACTGCACCACAAGGGCTCATGTGCTTGAAATGTTATTTCTTTGCTTGTGTTCCTTTGCTTTAAAACA